TCTGCGTGGGCGTGTGTTGCGGGCCCCGAGCCGGGTGCGTGGTGTGGGGCGGTAGAGGCTTCAGAGCCGCAGCCCGAGGAGGGTCAGGCGGACACAGGACCGTCCCAGGCTCACCCACCACCGGATCAGCCAGGACCCAGAGGGGCCCTCATGCGGTAAGTGACACCCACTCACCCCGACACGTGCAGGGCCCGGGCAGGCAGCCTGTGTCCCGGACCCACTTGCCAACTGCGCCCTTCGCCGGAAGCATGGCGCACGGCCTCGTGCACGGAAGTGGGTGTGGAGTCCGGGGCGGACAGGCCCGTGTGGCCTGGGGGGTTGGAGGCTTCCCCAGCCGCTTCATCCCTTTTCCAGATCCTTCCTGGAGGCGGTCCCAGCAGGATGAGCCCAGTAGGTCCCGATGGGTCCGTCCTTCAGGGTTCTGGCCTCTGGCCCATATGCCCTGTGACCTTGCTGGACCCAAAGCACCCTCGTCTCCATCCTCAGCAGGAGGCGAGGGCGGGCACACTGGAGGCAGGAGTGGGGACAGTCACTCCAGGAGTCCTAGGCACTGGGCCTGGCCTCCTGCTGAGCAGTCTGGAGCCTCCCACCAGCAATGGGCTGAGATGGGGTGGGCACCTCCCTGGTCCTTCCATGCCATCCCTGGACTCTGGTTTGCCAACCTGCCCGCCTCCCTCCTGAGCTGCACCCCGGCTCCTCTTGGCCAGCTGGGGCCAGTTCTCACCTCCACTCCGTCTGAAACGAGAGAAAACTGGTCCAGGTTGCTGAGTGGGAGTGGGAGGGTCAGCCAGCCCTGGGGGGAATCAGGACGGAGTGAGCCAGGAGAGGGACTCCCGACATCAGGCCTGTGGCGTCGCTTTCCCCCCATGTCCCTACACGTAGCGCCTGCGGCCTTAGAGAGGCCCCCCAGCTCCGTGCCTGGGCACTGCCCCTAACACTCCGACCCCTTCTCCACGAAGAGACGCAGCCCCTGGGAGCACTACCCGCTGGCAGAGCGATGCCTCACAACTCCAGCCACGGGGTCGGCATGGTCCATGGGGGTAAGCACCTCTCGATCCACGTTTTGGGCACTGGGCAGCATGGAAGTAGCCCAGGTAGGTAAGTCACACTCAAGGTCGGTCATGGGCTCTGGAGTTCTTGTCCGCGGTGCCTGCACAGGATTGTGGGAGCAGCTGGCCTCCAGGCAGAAGGAAGGAAGCAGCAGCATTTCCGTGCCTTCCAGTTCAGCTTCGTTTTGTGAAACGTGTACAAGGTGTCCTGTGCACGGAGGCCCCATGGAGACCGCCATGAGTCAAGGCAGTTGGGAAGACAGGACACATAGTTCAGGCCACAGGAGACAGAAGAGGTGCAACCAGAGGCAGAAACGGGGAAAACCAGGAGAGATCCCGGAAGCTTCCCACATAGGAGACCCCTTCCAGGCGGACAGGCGGGGAAGGCGGAACAGCAAGTGCAGGCGCCTGGGAGGCCCGGAGAAGGAAGGGCAGCTCTGGGAAGGGTGGTGAGCAAAGGGGAGGCTATGGGAGATGAGCAGGGGAAACGGCCAGTCCGCTCTGGATGCTGTGCTGTGAGCTTTTATTATAATTTTAGTTTTACCTGAAATTTACCATTCTATTCTAGGTTCTTAAATTGCATTTTTCAAAAATATATTTTTATTGATTTCAGAGAGGAAGAGGAGAGAGAGAGAGAGGGAGAGAAACATCAGTGATGAGAGAGAATCATGGATTGCCTGCCTCCTGCACACCCCCGACCGGGGATGGCGCCCACAACCCAGGCATGTGCCCTGACCGGGAATTAAACCGTGACCTCCTGATTCATAGGTTGACGCTCAACCACTGAGCCACACTGTCCAGGCATGTATGAGCTTTTGACTACAGAGGAGGGACTATATTTCAAATCTTTTGGCAGCCAAGTCTAGGTGAGGCCGCCCAGGGACCTAGCCTGGGTTCCTTGCCCCTGACCCGGTCCTTCCTTCTTCCACAGGTAAGACCTGGAAGGAGCAGGACAGGGACAGGGAAGGAGCGTGGAGAGGCGAAGCAGGCGGCCTGGCCTGCAATGCCTCCTCCCCATTCCCCCCGGAGCCTCCAGGGGCCGCAGGCAGCAGCATCCCTGTCTACTGTGCCCTCCTGGCCACCGTGGTCCTCGGTCTGCTTGCCTACGTGGCCTTCAAGTGGTAGGTGGCCTGGGGACTGCCCTGTGGGACCCCTTCCCGTCCGGACTCCCAGCCAGCTCCCCGCCTCAGTGAAGGTCGGAGCTGACTGGCAGGGCCCCTGCTCCCACAGCTGGCGCTCCCATCAACAAAGACAGCAGCTGGCCAAAGCTCGGGCTGCGGAGCTGGGCGCCCTCGACAGGGACCCGAGGCACGGGGAGAGCAGTGTCTTCCTGGACTCTCCTAGCGGCCGGGGTGAGTCCCTTTCCCTGGGGAGCAGGGGCTTAGCTCTGCCCGCCGCCCAGCCCACCTGACCCTCGTGTCTCCCACCCAGGGCCACATCCGGAGCTCGGCCGCCGGCTTTACCTCCATCTTCCTCAGCAGCAGCAAGAGGAAGTGGAGCGGCTCCTGGGAGTGTCGGGCGACCCCGACAAGGGCTGGCAGGGCCTGGCAGGCCGCCTGGGCTACCAGACGGAGGCTGTGGAGACCATGGCCCGGGGCCCGGCGCCTGCCTGCGCCCTGCTGAGGGACTGGGCTGTCCAGGGAGGCAGCGGCGCTACCCTCAGGGTGCTGGAGGACGCCCTGGCCGCCATGGGCCGTGAAGACGTGGTCCGGGTCCTGGGCCTCCCGCCTGAGGGCTGCTCTGTGGTGTGAGCCAGGCCCCCCACAGCCTGGCCTCTCGGGGTGCAGCCCTGTGCTCCCTACCACGCCCTCTCCCATGCCCTTCCTTTCATGGGCTTCCTGCCTGGGTGGGCCCAGCCTGCTCCGTTCTGGAGGGACTCAGAAGGTGCAGCCACGCCCCCACTCCCCTGGCCCCATGTCCCTCTGAGACAGAGACCAGGATCTGGGGGAGCGGGCAGGAAGGAGTGGGCCTGCCCTCCTGCTCCCTATCCCCTCCCCTTCCTTGGCCTTAACTGTTTTTCTACTTTTGTATCCATAGTAAAGGCGGCTCTGGGTTACTGTGCAGGCTCTGTCTGGCTCCGTGGGCCTGTGAGGCAGTGGGTGGCTAGGAGGCTGAGGCCCTGAGAAAGGACGGGGTCCTGAGTTATGGGAGGAACCTGGGCTGCAGGCCGTGTGCTCCCGTGCAGGAGGCGGGAGCTGTGGGGCTGGGCGCCGAGTTCGCCTCCTGCACCTGCCAGGCCCGGGCGGGGTCGTGCTAGAGCTGTTACTTTCTTAACTCCAGCCTCCTTCGCTGAGAACAGGGACGAGAATGGCAAGTTCAGCAGGTTCCCCCCACCGGAGACTCGCAGGTGGCGGCGCCCGGCACGGCGGGGAGGCTGGTCCCCAAGGGCCTCTGGGCACCTACCTCTCGAGCTAAAGGGAGAAAGGGCCACCGTTCCCAGGCCCACACTCCGGCCTCAGGAGAGGGAGGGCCAGCGAGCTTCCCTCGCTGCGGATGTGCTGTCTGCACGACCGAGGGCTGGCAGTCCCCCCACCCACCTGAGGGGCAGGTGAGGACAGGACCGCCGCAGCCCAGCCACCTGCAGCCCACGCTGTGCTCCCTCGGGGGGAGAGGCAGGCAGTGCGGTGGCCGCCTCGGGCGAGGGCTGCGGCAGCAGACAGGCCTGCCAAGGGAGGACTGACGGCTACCATCCTGGCAGCCACCCCCAAACTCTCAGGAGACGTGGGGCCGTCATGGTCCAGGGGCCCAGGGCAGGCCCCGTCCCCTGCTGAGATGGCACAGACTGAGGACCCAGCTCACCAGCTGCTGCTGCTGCTCCTGAAAAACAGCTCTCGGGGCGGCTCGACCCCCAGTCTTTCCTTCACAGGGAAGGCACTGCCTGGCCGGCCTGGCTCAGGGGCGGAGTGGTGACCTATGAACCAGGAGGTCACGGTTCAATTTGGTCAGGGCACAGGCCCGGGTTGCAGGCTGGACCCCCAGTGTGGGGCGTGCAGGAGGCAGCCCATCAATGATTCTCTCAATGTTTCTCTCTCCCTCTCCCTTCCTCTCTGAAATCAATACAAATATATTTAAAAAGAAGGGGGGGGGGGGGGGACTGAGCCACCTTCATCCTGAGATGACCCTGGGGCAGCAATAACCCAGGAGAGAAAGCAGGAAAGACCCAGCATTCCCACAGCTAGAATCAGACGAGCCCTGGGGACATCACACCCACTTCAGCAGGGAGTGGCCGCAGCTGACCACTGATTGGCTGGGCGTGAGAGTGAATCCTGCCTTGAGGGGCACGAACCGCTCTCAGTGAGCTGGCAGCCTCCATCACCACTGGGGACTGGAGCTTGAAGGTGTCCGGGGCATGTGGAAGGGAAAAGATTGTGGAAAAGCCAACAGTGGTAAACCAACAGGACTCCTTCCTCTTCAGCGGTGCACAGCCTGAGCTCTAGGAGCCCCGGTGCACCCACAGGCAGTGAGCGCTGCGCCGACCCCACCCCGACCTCAGAGCCCAGGGGCACCCACAGCAGTGAGCGCTGCACCCCGCCCCCACCCCGACCTCAGAGCCCAGGGGCACTGCTGCTGTGAGGAAGAGATGGACCAGACTCTGCAGATGGGCCAGGGCTGGCCTGAAGCCTCTGGCTCTCATTGCCCAGACAGGGGTGTGTGGGGGGTGGTCTCCTCCAGATGCCCACTCTCATCCACCTGTGCACTGCGCCCCACAACCGGGGTCCCCACCTATCCTACGTCTAGTGTCCAGGCCCAGTGCCAGGTGGACTTGTCTCTGGAGGGAAGTCCCTGCCAGGGAGGCGTCGGCCACGCCTTCGCTGAGTGACTCCGCCCCCAGCACAGCCATAGGGACTGTGAGGACAGGCCTGCGGCCAACTCCAACCTCAGGCCACTCTGGACTGCACTCCTCTCCTTTCTCCTCCAGGAACCGCAGACACAAACATGCTCAACTAGCTCGTAGGGAACACACATGCCAAGTTCTTTAATTAATTTTATTTTTTACATAAAAAGTTCAGTAAAAATTGGATAAAGTAAAGTGATTTTAAGCAGTAAATCAATCTTATCAACATAGCACAAGGCTGGCCGAAACCACAAGGCAGCCTGCTCTGGAATATTTACATGATAACAAATTAAACCTTGCAGGAGAACTTCAACCGTCCTTACAAAGTCTTCCTGTGATCCTAGCATGTAAAGGCTAAAAGCAAAACAAAAAACAAACAAAAACCAGGAAAAAACAAACAGATTATTTTCAATATATTCACATATACATTAAAATATAATACAGGTCGTCAGGGTAGAGGTGGTGGGTGGGGATGCGCATGGTCCGTGCGCCGACAGCACCGCCAAGGAGGAGACCCAGGTGTGAGAGGGGTCAGGCCTGGCCGGGGTCCGAGGGAAGCGTCTCCCTGGGCCCTGGCCTCTGATGGCCTCTAACCTCCCCCAACAGCTCACGGCCAGGGACTGCCTGCTGGAGACTGAGCTCGTTTCTGGGCTCCCAGGGGCCCTGCAGGTGTGGGTCCCGTGATGGGGCATCAGTAGCACAGGTGTGACGGAGGCGGGCAGGGAGGCCGCAGGCTCCTCGCCGAGTCTGTCCAACCTGCTCGCCGTCCTCCCGCCGGGCCCGCAGTCACTCTAGCTCCGTGTCTTCTTTGGGTCTGTAAAGGGCCCCGAACTTCTGCATGTACTTCCTGATGTACTCCCTGGTCTTGTGCTTCACGTTCTCGTTGCACTCCAGGTCCTCCGGGTTCTTGCAGTACTTCAGCTCCTTGTTCATGACGCCGTGAGTCAGCTGTCAGGACGCGGGAGAGAACAGGCCGCCATCAGAGGGGACACGACTGGAGCGAAGGCCAGCCTGCGGCCTCAGGGCCCTTCTGACCAAGACTGGGAGTTGACAAGGAGAAAGGGTGGGGCGGGCTGGTGCTGGGGCCACCAGGAGGGGCAGCTCAGCTCTGGAAGTTTCTCAGAGTCACTACACTCAGGTAGGGCCCTTCCTTCTCAAACCTTCCCTCCATTCCTGGGCACCCAGCCTGGGCATCAGGCCAGGAAAACCCACTTCCGATGGGAGAGGCCTCTTAGGAGGTCTAGTTTGCCCACAACTTGCCAGCTCACAGCGGGGAGAGTACCTTCCGAGCGAGGTGCTTGAAGTCCTCCGTGGTGGTAATTCTTCCCACTTTGCAGTCCGGTTTCCGGTAAGGGTTCAGGCACTGGACGATGAACTGGGACATCTGCAGGCAGCGGAGAGAACACACGCTCAATATCCAGGAAGGAAGAAGTCATAATGAGGTCAGCCCTGGGGGGCAGGGGAGAGGGCTCCCTGGGGTGGACTGAGCAAGCCTAGACGGGGGCCGGCAGCAGGGACTGGAGAAAGCTATCCTCTTTATGCCACTGGAATGCAGGCCCCAGGCTCAGCGAGCACAGGGCACTTCCTTAGTGTAGAGGCGCCAGCTGAGTCCTCTGGCTCCAGAAACAGCGCAGAGAGAAGGCCCAGTGCTGCCAGGGGCTGTGAGGCACAGGTGGGTCCACACTGCAGCTGCGTGGAGCAGGTGCGTTCACACTGCAGCTGCGTGGAGCAGGTGGGTCCACACTGCAGCTGCGTGGAGCAGGCGCGTCCACACTGCAGCTGCGTGGAGCAGGCGGGTCCACACTGCAGCTGCGTGGAGCAGGTGGCAGCGCAGCATGACAGCTGGCGGGGAAGGCCTTGGGCAGGACCCTCTTCGATATACAACGTCCGTGTCCTCTGAGCTCTCGGTGTCTGTCCTGCCCAGGGCTCTCAGGAGACCCAGACACAGAACCTCTGAAGTATTCATGGCACCAAGACCCCAGGGACAAAGGGAGTGAGGAGGCCAGCGAGAGCCACTTCATCAGGAGCACTGCCCAGGGCCCACCGCCCTCAAAGCTCAGTGAGCCTTCCGAGCCAGAGGACAACGCCCTATCGCACAGCAGGCACTAAGGAAGCAGCCAGCTGCTGGTTGGCTGAGCTGAAACACCAATCATTTCACAGGGATCGTGAGAGACTAAAGGGTGGCAGCGCAGCATGACAGCTGGCGGGGAAGGCCTTGGGCAGGACCCTCTTCGATATACAACGTCCGTGTCCTCTGAGCTCTCGGTGTCTGTCCTGCCCAGGGCTCTCAGGAGACCCAGACACAGAACCTCTGAAGTATTCATGGCACCAAGACCCCAGGGACAAAGGGAGTGAGGAGGCCAGCGAGAGCCACTTCATCAGGAGCACTGCCCAGGGCCCACCGCCCTCAAAGCTCAGTGAGCCTTCCGAGCCAGAGGACAACGCCCTATCGCACAGCAGGCACTAAGGAAGCAGCCAGCTGCTGGTTGGCTGAGCTGAAACACCAATCATTTCACAGGGATCGTGAGAGACTAAAGGGGTCTCTGTCTATGAGGCCTCCTGGCCCCCATACTCTCTGCCTCAATCCCTCTCCCGCTGAAAGCCCTGCACTGGTTCCCCGTGAGCCACACAGGCCGTGTGGAGCAGCGCAGGACTGCTCAGCCGCATCTCCCAATGCCCCTCCCGCCCGGGCACAGCCATGGCCACGCACAGCTCCCTGGAGACACACTGCCGGCTTTCTCCTGTACGTCCAAGGCCTGAGGGACACGCTCCCCCATCCACCTCCCTATCCGGACGCCGACACCCTCAGCGCCCTCTTCACTCAGCCGCCAGCACACCAGGGTCCCTTCAGGAAACCAGGGCGTGTTAGAACCCAGATCCCTGGCAGACCAGCTGGTGTCCTGGGGCTGGAACCCCGGGAGCAGAGCGGAGCTGCTTTCTCCGGCCCCTAAGGATCAGGCAGCCCCGTGAGGTGTCACAGAAAGAGAACCGACTGCCAGGAGGCTTGAGTTCAAGTCTCTGTGTAGCACCTGCCTCTCAGAGCCCTAGGGGTTCCTGCTCCCGCCCGCGAGGCCTGACGGTTCCTCCCCTGCCCACCTCGAGGGCTGCGTGGACGGAATCAGACAGTGGGCATGGAAGTGCTCATCACCCAAGTGCAAGGCCATGCCATGCGCCGTCACAGCGGCTGCTCAGCTGAATGGCGGAGGCGAGGGGACGAGCTGTGGGTGCTGAGGACGGGAAAGGAAAGACTGGTCTAATCAGCCACGGAGCTGAGCAGTCCCCAGCAAACCTACCTCTTTTCTGAACACTTCCTTGCTTTTCTTGGCCAGCTCGCTGGAGGTGTCTGCCTCTGCTGTCTTGGGCTTTTTTGAGGCCTAGAAACGAAGAGAAAGCAGCAACGCTGGGACGAGGTCAGACCGTGACGCCCTGCTGCTCCAGCACCTCCTCCCTCCCTTCTGGCCTCTCGGCGTTAAGGCCCGAGGCTGGAGGCTCCGGCTGAGCCCTCACCCCGACGAACCAAGTCCTAGTTCTCTGCCCTCACTCAGCGCTGCAGCCGTGATGGAGCGAAAACCGCTGGTTGTTTCAGAGCCGCGTTCTCTGCTGTGCCCGGACCACCCCGATGCCGCCGGAGCTCCACTCCCCACGCCCACGCCCAGCACTGTCCAGGCCGAAGCCCACTGAGCACCGCTTCTCCTGCTGACACGCCGGGCTCCAGGGCCACGGAGACACGTTCTGCTGACACGCCAGGCTCCAGGGCCACGGAGACACGTCTGGAGGTTCCCACACACGCGTCCTCTTCCCAGTCCTCCCACCCCCTTGGACACGCCTCCTGCCTCCTGAGGCAGCGCTGGCCAGACTGCAGGAGAGGCTCCTGGGAGGGTGGGATTCCAGTTCGGAAATGCAAAGACCAGAGGCAACTAGGATTCCGGGGGAAGAAGACAAGGGCTGTGCCCGTCAGTGAGCAGATGATGAGACACGGTGCCTGGGTCCCAAGCTGGTAAGAGGGCGACACCCCCGGG